GTCGATATCTTTTACTGTTTCAACGGAGTATAGTTAATAAGAAAATCAGAGTAAATGAAGATAAATCCCATAGTTAAAAGTATGTACGTAACTCGGCGTACGTTACTAATGGGACCGGTGATTGCCAACCAATGAACTTTGTGAAATACGTCGTTGAAATTTTAACTAAGTATCTAAAAATTATTTAAATCATATATCGGAGTTTTCGTCAATATTAAATATTTTTTTTGGATGTTGTAAAATGATAGAAATCATGTAATATTATTTATCACTTGATTCTACAGATTCCCGCCCATATTTTCACTATCAATAGATCACGTAAATACATGTACATCTATCATACAACTGATTTAAGCAGCGACATATAATATATTAAATGTCTCTGAATTGAGTTATATTTGGTTTTGACCACGACAATAGCATGAATAGTTTGTTAACAAACTTTGCAGATGAACGTTCCATTTTTCTACATTTTACAGGCTTATTGTTTTGCATCACATTTTTATAAAGCATCATTTCACACTCTTCTTCTGCAAATTATAAAGAATAAGAAAATCAAGCTTAATGATTATCGCTTCCTTCCATTAATTTATTTACCAAGAGTGAGACTTATATATTTACGAGGAAAAACGTACGAATATAAGTATGTGTATATTTACAGAAACGTAATGGATTCTTAAATAAAAGAGAATGTGTTGAGATAAACCATTACATAAAATCCGTATTTTTTTAGCTCACCTGGCCCGAAGGGCCAAGTTAGCTTTTCTCATCACTTGGCGTCCGTCGTCCGTCGTCGTTGTCGTCCGTCGTCGTCGTCATCCGTTGTCGTCGTCGTTAACTTTTTACATTTTGAACTTCTAGAGAACCTCTGAATGGAATGAAACCAAACATGGCATGAATGTTTCTTATGAGGTGCTGACCAAGTGTTGTTACTTTGTAGCCGATCCATCATCCAAGATGGCCGCCAGCGGGGGACTTCATTTAACATAGGACCCTATGGACAATACATACAAATGTCTTCTTTTAGAGAACCACTGAATGGAATAAAACCAAACATGGCATGCATGTTCCTTATGAGGTGAAATCAAAGTGTTTCCAAATATCCAAATATGAAATAGTCTCAGTGGCCCCTAAGCATGCGTCCCTGGGCTACATTTTACTGGTTTTACTTGAGGTGTTTATTTATAAAATGTGTTTAAATAAAATAAAATATAAGTATCGACTGGTAGAACCATAGTTTTTCATTATATATGTAGTTTGAATTATAGCATAAACAATTTGCAAGCAAAATATACATAATACATTGTTAGTGGATAGATATCGAATATTGATGATACACATACATGTATATTTAAAACATATGAAACAGTATATGTCCATGAGACATGCTATTCAATGGGAATGTATTTCTACGCAGTCTCTGCTGTAATAACTTTTTTTTCGTCACCTGTGAAATTTTAGAACTGTACCAGTTCATATCGCACATTACTATTCTTATAGAAGCATATCTATGAAGTCTCTATTGTAAATACCTAACCTAGGTCATTTTAAATTTTTTTGAATTATACAAGCGTTGTTCGGTTTTTAATTGTATAACTGTAAAGATTGTTATAGTATAGAATAGATTGATATGATTCATTGTACATCATCATAATCATACTAATGAAGGACATCTGCTAAATATTTATAGATGCTTATATTTAATGTTTCCTTTTTTGAATATTGGTGTTGTTTGGTACACTTTTTGGAGTATACATAACTTATTTATTGTGTACTAGTATCGTTACTCGTAACGATACAGCGAGTAACGATCCAGCGCCCTCGTAAGAAAGATCGTTGACTTATATCTAGACGTTTTATATATATAGCTAACGCAAATTTGATGATCTAACATTGTTGGGCTAAATTTGAGACGTATAATAAAAAAAGCAGACGTGTCCACAGGACAGATTAGCATCAGACCTGTTCACTGGTCTGGTCAGGTTAAGCTCTCCTGTCCACAGGTCTTATCTGGTCTGCAGCAGTCATAAAAAGCAGACCTAGGCCTGGTCTGATAAGGATAAAGTTAACTTGTAGGTCAGCTAAAATTGTCTTAAGTTATATTGAAGAGCAGTCCTTGAAAGCAGTCTACTGCTCTAAGTTACCTTTTGTACAGGTTAGGACTACACCTATCTGTTTTTACTAGGGATGTCAACTCGGTGTAGATTTACTAATCGAGTACTCGTTGGATTTTCCGCGCGATACTCGAGTCCTCGCTCGGAAAAACATCTACAAAATGGAAACACAAAGATTAAAGAAGCAAATACTTACCACAATATTGTAATAATAATATAAATGTTATTACATTCAAACAAGTATGTTCAACCCGAAATTGTGTTGAGCTTAATAAACTTTGTAGATTTATTAAATCTATTTCTGTGAAAGTCTATCCTCCTGGTTAAAAATAACTACTAGTATATGTTTTTTATCTTTTGTCCAAATATATTTTAATATTATATAACAGTCATTTGTATTTCACATGTGCTATATTATTAATATTTGTATCAATGTAATATATTACCTTCATTGTGAAAATATATGTTTCAAATCATGTCTGGACATAAACATTATATATATTATAGTTAATATCATAAATGTCATCAGATTAATTTTAACCGAATGTATGAAATCTTCGCCATTATTCTCCAAAAAAAAAAGATTCTCACCTTTTTCTACACTGCAGTTTGTCTGTTGGTCCTTTTTCGTTTTGTTTGCCATTGCGTTGTAAGTTTGTCATTGACTTATGAGTTTGATAATCCATTTGGTATCTTCTGCCTTTCTTTTGCTTTGTGTTTGTCTGACAGTTGCAAAGAAGAGGCGATACTCATAAAAGGTCTTGACTTTGACTTCAATTTCAAGATGATTGATAATGGATCTCAAATCAAAAGACTATCAGACTATTATGTTTTGATCAGTATAAAACGCGATTCAAATATATAATGGGAAACACTCATATTAAATAAAACCAAAGCACAACGACTTTATACAATTTGACAAACACTTTTGATTCGATAATTGTTACTGTTAATGTGAAGTAGCGATTACAAGCAATATTCGAAATTAAAAATTTCTTTGATTTTGAATTTGACCGTTATTTCCTCCTAATGGATAAATGATCTGATATATCAATAGACTGTTAACCTCTTTGACTTACGGTTGATTAGTTACATCGATATATTACTTATATCAAACGCAAACAGCTAAAATACGCTAGAAGATGTCAGCGGATAACTTCTGTTAAAAAAAGAACATAACGGCTAGAGGATGTAACGAACAATTTATAAAGAAAGAGTCGATATCTTTTACTGTTTCAACGGAGTATAGTTAATAAGAAAATCAGAGTAAATGAAGATAAATCCCATAGTTAAAAGTATCCATATACACTGGGTCAGCTACCATAGTTTGACCATTCTTCAATATCCTATGCAAAAAGTTCTATGGATGAAATACGATACATTCTAAGGATGGCATTATTTATGATAGTAAAATTGTTTTCCTATATTTACGTACGATTCAAATTTGTGGCCAGCCTCAAATCTGTGTTCAGCCCTTATATATGTGTCCCATGATGTCTTGACCCTCAAATCTGTTGGCCTTTTTCAAACCTCAAATATGCGACCTTTTCCCCAAATATGTGTCCTGTTACGTCATGGCACTTGAATCTGCGAACAATGTTTATTCAAATCAATGTCCTTCTTTTCATGAAGTAGACAGTCATGTGAAATGAAACGGACATTCAAATATAAAACATGAGTTAAACATGTTTTTAATCGGTCAACCCTCCTCTTTACCTGGATTAACAGCTATAAAATCAGTTTGAATGATTGATTGATTGATGTATAACGCCACTTTCAGCACTATTGACTATGTCGTGGCAGTCAGTTTTAATTAGTGGAGGAAGCCGGAGTATCCGGAGATAACTATCGACATTCGGCAGAAAAAACTGACGATCCTTGTCAATTAAGATTGGAGTCGAGCGCACCTGCCACGTGCTTCAGTGTTGACAGGCTAGTGATACAGTAGTTGAACTACTAAAACCACTCGTCAAGCGAGTCCCCAATAAATCAGTTTGAAAGGGCTTGACTAATCAGATCAACACAAAGTACAAAATTAACTAATAAAAGGATAAAAAGACAATATATAAAGTACTGATCAAAGATTATTCAAATCTGTGTTACCGTTTTACTTTCAAGGCTTCATTACTTATTTGACGCGTTTATGACTAATGTGTCTATATTAAAAGATACAAACAAATGTTTTTATATGTTGACTGTTTTCACTAGTTAACATGATTAATCTATTTCTTTGATTTTAAATCGATTTAAAAACAAATGACTTGATAAGAATTGCAAATTACTACTGGTAACTAAAATGATAAAGTATTGCTAGAAGATTCATTTTACATAGTTCAACATGCATACACTTTTCAAAAGCATAACTGCAGTCTAGTATCGATTCAATTTGAAAAAAAAGTCGAACTGATTTCTATGATAACACAAATCTTTCCTCGATGACGTTACGCTTATTCCGACGTCAACACATAGAACAGAGCACGACTTGTTAGAAACACTCCGATTTTAGAAGAGAAAGGACACAGATTTGCGACGTCTATGACATAATCATGATAATACAGAATAATACACAGATTCGAAGAAAGGATATCGATTTGAGGCTTACATAATTTTATATATATAAATATATATTTAGTTATTGATGATATGGATACAATTTACTGATATTTGGATTGGAATTGGAAAGAATCTTTTCTGTTTTTAATTTTTTGAATTATGATTTCAAAATGGTATTTCGAGGAAAAGTGAATCGGTCTATTCGCACTGTCGCCTTTAAAATTAGTTAAGAAAGATAAATTTTACATGCTGTACTTAAAACAATTAATCAGCTATTCGACACGTGATGCAAAGAATATTTAGATTGCTATAATCTACTACATTTTTTTTCAGATTTCCAAAACTATTTGTCAGAAAATTTTATGGATCGTGGAAATATCAATAATAATGACAACGGAGGCGAACTGACATTAATAACAGCTTATTTTAACATCGGGTCATTTAAAAAAGGTCCACAACTTATATATTCACAAAGCTCATATTATGATTGGATGAAAAGTTTTCAGTCTGTGAACAATAGTGTAATCCTTTATACGGACGCAATTAGTTTATCGGTGCAATTCAAACTATATCGAGCACATTTCCCAAAACACATGACTAAAGTATTCATAGTGAATCAAAGAAGCCTCTGGGCTTTTCAATTGAAATCAAGAATCGAAGAAATTTATAGCCAACCAGGGTACCCGATATATTATCCAAATGTGGGAGAGCCTGCTTATTCATGTGTAATGCATGCTAAGTATGAACTGATGGAACAAGTAATAAAAGAGAAGTTATTTAAGACCAAATATATTGCATGGATCGATATAGGCTATTTTAGAAGGACGAAACCCGGTTGTTTTAAAATGGAACCTCCTAAGGATATAAGAGATGATCATATTTTATTTTCACAAGTAGATTTTTTCAAATATCACCTCACTATGACGGAAATTATATATAAAAGTAGTTTATTCATAGCTGGTGGATTTTTCATTGGAAGACCGGATAATCTTCTGTTGTTCATTGAGGATTATAAGTTAGCCGTTGAAAGTTTGCTTGACATGAATGTAATGAACTCAGATCAGCAAGTATTGTTCATATTGTATTCATCAAAACTACCCTTTAATCCTAGAATACCAATTCAAACTTTTTTTAACCCAATAAGTTTGAAAAAAGGAAGAAAAGATCGATGGCATTTTCTTGGTAAACTCTGTCAGAGGTTTATCAAATGGAAAGGAAGTGGAGACACCTGTATCGCTTAATAAAATGAAATATATATTTATCTTTCCGTTTATTTAATATGTTTCTGACAGTAAGACATCCCATGCAATTGTCGTTACTTTCATGAACACAATAATAAGTTGCAAGGCATTATTGCATCCTGTGTGGAGTTCTTAATATCCACCGCTGGCAACTAGTACAAAGAGAACTTTTCATTCTATTACATAGTGTACTTCAAATCAAAAATAAGGCAGTGTATCTATTAAAATAACTGTTTAAGATAAAAGAAACAAAAGCAAAAAAGAAAACATTGAATTTGATACGAGACAAATACTGAGCTTAAGACAAAGGATAGAAACACACATTATTTTGGGTTTAGGTAGATCCAGTGGCTTGTGCTATCTTGGATATAAAAAGAAACAGAACATAATCAATTTAGATCTAACACAAAACATTAAAAGATTTGAGATAGCAATGTGATTCACTTGTGAGACTTGCCATTACAATGTAAAAACTATGTGAGTTATCTTAATATAAAAACAATTTTAAAAATACTGATTTTGTTTTCTGATTCATGTATTTGTTGATGTGTCTTATAAGGGAGATACTTTATAGATAAACTTACTTTTATAAAGGAATGTGTACTAAGTTTACAAATGAAAAAAAAAAAAAAACGAGTCCCAATTTTACTATTTATTTTCTGAAAGCTAAATTATTTTCTAATATTGTATCTTTAAATTATATGGTTTTCTTGCTATCACACAAAATGTTGAACAACGTGTAGATTGAAAAGTTCCGTGACACTTTCTTTCTATTATACTGTTGGAAAAAAAAGCATGATATTAACTTCATTTTGACAAATTACTTTATCGATTTTAATGTAGACCCTAAATCTGCCTTAAATTAATTTTCTTGTTATTCAAACCCCATCCCAAACGATCATATGAAACTAGTCAACAATGAGCAAAACCAATATGGTGTACATAATTCCCCAACCGATGTGTTCCTAAACAAATATAATCGTCTTGTTGTTTACTGAAAATTATGCACATTAATACAATCATACTAAATGAAAATAACACTTTAAAATTTTCGTGCGTCCGACACATGTTTCTAGATTTAACTTTATCGGAACGCTTACACATAAACAATATCAAAAATGTGTTATTATTTAACACAAGAGACACATTTACTAAAGTTTTATGAGAAACTAATCAATACAAAAATTCGAAGGAGATTTGTCTTTTTCAGTTATGGCCAGAACAAACTTACAGATGGGTGTAGTCCTAACCTGTACAACAAGTTAACTTGCTAACCAGTCAAAGTTAACACGAGATAGGTTTGAGGAGTGCTACAACCGGTCCTAGGACCACAATCAAGTTAAATCGAAAAACAGACTTAGTCCTTGGACTGCCGAAACAGTTAACTTTAGAGAGGTCTGCTACTGAAATTCGGCAATAAGTTAACTTCGATTTTGACAACTCCGATTGACCTGATCTGAAGTTAACTTTTGGCTTGTTTGCTCAACACTAAGTAAAACTGCTCTACATCGATTGATAAAACATTTATAAATGTTATTGTTTCTTGATATAAACATTACAGATTAAATACATTTGTAAATAAAGTACGCATAAAAACTTTTTAATACAAGTTTCTATTTGATCTGCCTTTTAACAAATCGAAAACGATATTGGTTACATCGCTAACGTACATTGTAAATTTTAAATTTGTCAAGTCGTGTTTTAGTTCTGATCTGTTTTAAAATGTAGCAGTCCGTGTACAGTTGTAAGCTTAAACACTTGGTTATCAGATAGCATCGATTAACAATGACCACAGAGCAGAGTACATAATTTGTATCAACTAATCATAATAAATGAAAGCAATATTGGTGTACAGTTACTAACATTTATAGTCGGCTTTAATTAAGTGTGCCCACAGTTCTACTGTTTCTTTTTCTGCATCAGTTTAGAGTGCCAGCATGTCCTCTTCTTATTCAAAATATTGAATTTTACCACAAATCAGCAGTTTTTATATTTCAGGCTGGTTTGTAATACAAAAACATTGGACCACATCAACCAAAACTGACCATATTTGCACTTTATTATGCAAATTATATAGGCGGTTATCATTAATCAGTAAACTAGTATATGTAAACTAAGATTCAATTTTACATTACAACTGACAGCAATATTGGAACACAATGACAACAAAATTTTGTCCACACCAATTTCGAACTAACACTTACAGAATAGCAGTTTTATGAAGCTGGGATATTGTTCATGTCATTACTCTGATGTCACTCCTGATGAAGGAGAATAGCTGCACAGTTGTTAACTGTCACAGACAGTTCCAAGAAGTTTTTGTTTTCCCGTATACATCGTACAACGTTCATTTTTCATATATACATATATAGATATTTCAGCTGATCTGTAACAATTCCATCTTCATGCCTTTTATATCATGTACTGTATTACGACGCTAGATTAAAACTGACAAGGAAAGGTAACACCCGGCCACCGAAAGCTTTATTTTGTGAAGCCTAGGTGGTCGAGTGGTCTAGCGCGTCGGATACAGTGCAGGCGATTTGGTGTCACGATATATCAGTAGCATGAGTTCGAATCCCGGCGAGGGAAGAACAAAATATTTGCGAAAGCAAATTTACAGATCAAACATTGTTGGGCTAATATATATACAAGTCTAAATTGAAAACAACGTTCAAACCTATGATTGCGTTGGATAAAAACCGCAATTTTTATACGTGTGCATGCAAAACAAATTTCTTGGTAGAGGGGTCTAAATACAGCACAAACAACATTTTCCAAAAGACCAAATGAGTGAAAAGTATATTTTAACAAAACACATTTGACTAGCAGGTCGAACAACTGATGTTCTTAAACCCTGCTGACTGCCATTGGCGATTTCCAAATAAACGGATCACAAGATGTAACAAAATAGATCTTATTATTAATTTATTACCAAAAAGAAAACAATAAACTTGCGGAAAAGATGGTATACCGCAAACATGAGGTGCAAAAATGTGAACACCATATCCGGATTTCGACAATTAATGTCTCTTCAGTGATGTTAGGAATCGAAACGGTATTTGGAAGGCCATATAATTTACCTCAATTTAGGATAGACTCTTGAATTTTGAAAGGGTCAAAATAGGATGAACGGATCATATAAACCCGAAGGCAAATATAATACAAGCCCAAACGAAAAAATATAAACAAGTCTAAATTGTAAACAACGTTCAAACCTATGATTGCGTTGGATAAAAACCGCAATTTTTATACGTGTGCATGCAAAACAAATTTCTTGGTAGAGGGGTCTAAATACAGCACAAACAACATTTTCCAAAAGACCAAATGAGTGAAAAGTATATTTTAAAAAAACACATTTGACTAGCAGGTCGAACAACTGATGTTCTTAAACCCTGCTGACTGCCATTGGCGATTTCCAAATAAACGGATCACAAGATGTAACAAAATAGATCTTATTATTAATTTATTACCAAAAAGAAAACAATAAACTTGCGGAAAAGATGGTATACCGCAAACATGAGGTGCAAAAATGTGAACACCATATCCGGATTTCGACAATTAATGTCTCTTCAGTGATGTTAGGAATCGAAACGGTATTTGGAAGGCCATATAATTTACCTCAATTTAGGATAGACTCTTGAATTTTGAAAGGGTCAAAATAGGATGAACGGATCATATAAACCCGAAGGCAAATATAATACAAGCCCAAACGAAAAAATATAAACAAGTCTAAATTGTAAACAACGTTCAAACCTATGATTGCGTTGGATAAAAACCGCAATTTTTATACGTGTGCACGCAAAACAAATTTCTTGGTAGAGGGGTCTAAATACAGCACAAACAACATTTTCCAAAAGACCAAATGAGTGAATATATGACATGAGTTAAATCAGTATCAGTAATCGGCTAATCTCTATATATGTGTTTATATCTCTAAATCTTTTTTAAAATTTTTGCTCTAAATCGGAATCAGAGTAATGACATGAACAATATCCCAGCTTCATAAAACTGCTATTCTGTAAGTATATATATATTTTCATATAAGTGCCTATAAATAGCAACACATAACATACGAATCTATTTGAGTGTGGATTAATCAGTACAAAGATTAATTCAATTACACAAATGAAATTTTAAATTGCCTTACAATGTAATTTTAACACACTATTGAGTATGTAAATATTAGAATGTTTAAAATATTTACAACGCGATAAAAAATAAACGCAATATTTCGCTAGACAAACTAGCTGCATCAAGCGTGCATCTATCCAGGTGAAATCGGATGTAGATAAGAAACTTTTGCAGCTCATTGTACATAAATTTAACTGTCTAATAAAGAAATTTGGATGAAGTTCAAGATTATTAACAAAATTGGTGGTTGAAGTTTGCAACGTCCATTGGCCAATATCACAGGATAAAAAGGACGATGCTTTGTTCTAAATTATTCTTTATCTTTCCTGTATCTTTTCTCGTCTTTTTCATTAAGACCATCAGGTTCGAAAGTGTGGAGCTGGTGGATCCAAAATTTTTCTCTTCTCCTTCTCGCCGTGGTGTCCCACTCGGTGTTGACTTCTATGATTTGGAAAGTAACTTTATCAAAAGGATGTTTCTTTGAGCGAAGATGTCTTGTGAGAGGACAGTTTTTGTTGGTTTTATACCATGAACGATGGTTATTAAGCCGAATATTAAATTTATCCATTGTTTCTCCCACATACTGAATGCCACAAGTGTTACATGTTAGTACATAAATTGAGTTCTCTGTTTTACAGTTGGAATTTAAGTAGATGGTATAACTTTGTTTTGTAAAGGAGCTGATGAAAGAACTGCTTGTATTGGCAGCTTTACAACATAAGAAATTCCTTCTGCCACATTGTTTGCAGCAACCGGGAGGTGGAGTAGGTTGCTTTGTTAATACAGCTGTCACTAATTTGTCACGGATGTTTTTATGTCTTCTGAAGGCCATGACTGGTGGTGAGGAAAATACTTTTTTTAAATTGGGGTCATTTTCTACAATTTTCCAATGCTTTTGAACAATAGATGACACATTTTTAAAATCAGGATGGTAAGTGAGTACAAGAGGTGTTCTGTTGACTTGTACTCCAGAAGTTCATGGCGACTAGTGTTGTTTGCCCTTTCGAAAGCTGTATCAATGATGTTGTTATTGTATCCTCGAACAACTGGATGTTTACGTAGTTGTCCAAGTCTAGCATTTTGCTTATTTTCGGTTGAGCATATTCTCTTGATTCGCAATGCCTGACTGAATGGGATACCCCGGGAGCAGTGTTTAGGATGGCAACTTTTAGGAGAAAGAAATTGATGTTTGTCCGTTTTTTTCGTATGAAGATCCGTTATTATGGTTCCGTTCTGGATGTAACTCGTAGTATCAAGGAAGTTTATTTTCTCCATAGATGTTTCGTGTGTAAATTTAATTGAGTTGTGGAAAGAGTTACAGTGTTGTAGAAATTTATTCAGATGGTCTTGTGAATCTGTCCATTTAAAATCAATATCGTCAATAAAACGAAACCATGATAATGGCTGGTATAGAGCACTGGCCAAGAGGCGTTTTTCAAGTTGGCCCATAAATATGTTGGTATATGACGGGGCCATTTTTGTGCCAATACTAGTGCCGTCTATCTGGAGATAGTGTTTGTCATTGAAAGAGAAGTTGTTGTTCTCCAGCACTAGTTTCAGAAGTGTAACAAGGCACTCAGTTGGAGGATTTTTGTCGCTACGAGTGTTCCATACCTCTTCACACGCTGCTATTACTTTGTCTTGCGGAATGTTGGTATATAAAGAAGACACTTCCATGGATGCGAGTATAGTATTGTCAGGTAGAGGATTAAGGCTTTCCATTTTCTTTAAATAATCTGTAGTATCCTGAATGTTAGAGGGTAGTTCTTTAACATGAGGTCTTAAGTGATGGTCTACAAATTCTGATATCTTTTCAGTTAGGTGACTATTCGCTGAAACAATAGGTCTACCTGGATTGCCAGTTTTGTGTATTTTAGGCAACATATAGAATCTTTTAGCCTTTGCTTCGTTCTCAAGAGGTCGAAGATAGTCAAAGGTGTCATTATCGATATGCTTTTGGTCGCACATCTCTTGAAGGATAGTGTTGATCTTTCGAATGGTAGTCTGTGTTGGATCTGTGGTTAATTGCTTGTAGAAATAGGAGTTTGACAGTTGACCATTCCCCTCTGCTATGTAATCTGTTTTATTCATGACAACCACAGCGCCCTCTTTGTCGGCAGGTTTTATTACAATATCCTTTTGTTCTTTTAACGCTTTCAAAGCGATGCTTTCTGACTTGGATAAATTATAATTTCTTTTGTTTGTTATACAGGACTTTATATCAGACCTCACGTAGTTAATAAATGACTCCAAGTTTTCGTTTTTACTTTTTGGTGGTTTCCATGAGCTTTTCATTCTAAAATTCATTTATAACCTTTACCACTTATACAAAAAACAATCATTCTAATTAAACATACATTTTATTACACCAACTTGCATTTATATTTTCAGGACTAGAATATACATTTTTACTTTGTGGCATTACTTTGGCTACAGAGTATTCTATAATATTTTGTTGATGCGCC